ATATGACAAAATCAATTTAGGTATGTGTTGAGAGAGCATTGCATCATTAGGTACTTATGCAATTTCTTTTACAAATGAACAAATTATGAGAATCAATATTTATTACTGTAAAACTTACAAGGACTCAAGAAAAAATTACAAAGAGTTTTTAAAAAATAAAATGAAGTTATGGGAAGCTCCGCATTAACTTTCCTAGTGTTTTATATATAAAATTAATTAATTGCTTTCATTTATAAAAAAGCGAAGCTTACATCTCATTAATTCATGGCTTCTCTTCTTCCTTTCCCATTTTTTTTCCTTACGTTTTACATTAATATTTTAATGATTGAGATTTAAATCTTTCTATTCAAATATTAAATTATAAAAATAAATAAATAATAAATTAAAAACTATATTAAATTTTAATTCTAATGCTTTGCACTAAATATTTTGAAAAAATTTTATAAATAATTTCTAAAAAATTAAAATGTGAACCGTTAAAATATATTAATCTAATAGTTGGAAAAAAGAAGAGGAAAAAAGAGAATGGGGAGAGAAGAGGATAAGTTCTGACTTCTAAATGGCATATCACGTGGTGTTTGTTAAGAAATTTCAAGTAAAACTTGTTGATAATTAAGTCTTTTGGCGGCATCTTTGATCACACTCGGTGGAAGTATTATAATTATCGTTGGAGTATTGTAATTATTAAAATATTACTATATGATAATTCTAATGATCATCGGAGTATTGTAATTTAATGACACCAAGTGCTTCTGTTAAAATCTTTTTAAATATGATTTGTGAATTTCAACATTCTATAAATGATATAGGGAGTGTTTGGATGGAAATCAAACCATAATTTTAGAAGTGCTTTTACAGTCTACGAAGTAAATATGTGAAGGAGTTTATCTTGATTTGCAGAAAAATATTTCTGAGAAGTACTTTTGAAAGTTGCCAAATACTCTTATAATGAGCATAAGTTATGACACAAAAAAAAAACAAGAAGAAGGAGATGCCAGTGGAACTACAGGATATTATATACAATTATTTTGCCACCGCTCAACAACGTTTTACATATGCGCGCGTGTGCGATTTTTTTCATTAATGTTTTTAATGAGATAATATCAGCACATTAGCGAACATAAAACAAATTGTTTTCAAGGATTATATTGTAATTTTATTCACCAATAACTATTGATATACTCAACGGGGGAAAAAAATCACGAGGATGCAAATTTTAAAAGTTTCCATTTTCTTGAGAAAATAATTTAAAACACTTTTGAGTAAAATATAAGATAACAATATGTTAGCTTTCAACTTTGTGCAATTGTTTTTTCATTCTTTAATTTTTTTGCGAATATTTCGTTGAGTTACATGCGGATTTTTCTTATTTTTTATGCATATTTTAGTTTGAATTTATTTTTTAGTCATAATTCTTGCACACATATTTTTTTTAAATAGAATTAAAAAATAATAGAGTTGGATATAGCGAAAGAGACTATGACGTGATGAACCAGTGTCCAGATCCGATAACTATAGTTATTGCCTGATAGCGCTCTTAACAGAATTACGTCCAATAGAAGATTATTTCTGCTTAGATAAAAAAGAAAACTCATAACCTTACATTTAAAAAAAAATTCATAAAAAATTGTTTGGTGTCATTTACGCTGCAAACCCGACGTATTTTAGTTTGAATAGGAAAATTTTAAATACTAACGTACTTTGAGCATAAGTTCATCGATTCATTACGTGACTTAAAAGGTAATTATTTAACTCACATAGGAGTATCAATGAACCCTTTAAACTAATTTATCGTATTTTAAAATTATTTTTATTTTTTCACCCCTGGCCTTAATTACTGCTCATTATTCTCTTAATTTTACTTCAAAGTGAGCCAATTCTTTTTTATTAATTGATTTGGAGTATTCTGGAAAAAATATTAATTACTCCTAAAAAAAATGTTGCCGTTGACAATTGTCCGTATTTCAAAAGTATAAAAAATTAAATCGTTATTCATGGTGCGCGCATAGCAGTAATCACAAGAAAAATTAATTTGTTAAGTATGTTCTGCTTAAGTATATTTATAAATACGAGACTTCCTTCTCTTATTATCGCTTCAATATTAATGTTCATATACGAAACCAACAAAAGCTTGCAATAATGGCTTGCCAAGAGCTCTTCCCTCCTTCTTCATGAACACATTATTGCAGCTTCTGTTGCGATCATCTTCTTCATCTTTCTCTGCAATTCATTCCTCCGAACTTCCATTTCTGCAGGGGAATCCCAAGACCCCAACCAGGATGATGATTTTGAATCCCTGCTCACAAATTTCAAAGAAGAATAAGCCACAAGGAGGAAACACCCTTCATACTATACGACAGGAATCTATAACTCTGATGCTGATAACTTTCACCTAGAAGATTTCATTTTTTACACATGATGTATCAAAATTTCACTTAGTTTACTTAGAATCTAATAGTAAAAGAAAACAAGAAAAACACATTTGGAAAGTAAGAAAATGTTCAAGGGCAGCAGAGGTGGGGTAACTCACACCCCAAATCCATGGGTATGAAAAGTTTTACTACCTCCAAGTTTCTGTTAGCTATTGACAACAAAATTTTCGCAATAAAGTTGCACTCCTCTTCATTAAAAAATTATTTAATAAAGTTGCACTCCTCTTCATTAAAAAATTATATTTAGCAAGTCACAAGAGGATCTTAAGAATTAGTGCTAAACAAATATTATTGAAAGAATCACAAATTTATAATCAAACTTTTTTTCCCCGAGAAATTTATAGTTAACTTTTTCTCATCTTGTTATCACAGAACCTATTCGTAGCAGGCACAGAACCATCCTCAAGCGTCATAGAATGGGCACTCGAAGAGATGCTAAAAAAACCCTAGCATCATGGAGAAAGCACAACAAGAAATGGACCAAGTCATAGGCCATGAGCACCGTCTGCAAGAATCTGACCTCCCAACCTCCCTTACCTCCAAGCAATTTGCAAGGAGGCCCTGCGGCTCCACCCTTCGACGCCTCTCAACCTCCCTCGGGTCTCTGCGGAGCCTTGCGAGGACGACGGCTACTTCATCCCAAGGGACACATGGCTAAGTGTCAGCATATGGGCCACAGGACGAGATACTGATGTATGGGAGAAGCCATTGGAGCTCAAGCCTGAGAAGAACCCAAAACTGGAAGCTTGTGGGAATGACTTTGAGCTCATTACTTTTGGAGCTGGAAGGAGGATTTGCGTGGGGATGAAATTAGGGATTTTGATGTTTGAATTCATGCTGGGGACTTTAATTAGTTCATTCTTTTTATATTGGAAGCTTCCAGAAGGAGTTTCTGAACTGATTATGGAAGAGGCCTTTGGTCTTGCCTTGGGGAAGAAAATATGCCTCTCACTGCTATGGTTAGCCCTAGATTGTCCCCTAGGGTTTACAATATTGCTTCAACTTAAACATCTCCATGATGCTTTGGATGAAGCAGCACCAAGCATAGATAAATAAGTTGGCTGTAGAAGTACCTTTTCATTGGGAATTTAATTTAGGAAAATTACAATAGGTCCTCATAAAGGAAAAAAAAATTACAAAAAAAGTCCTAAATATTGCTATTTTTTATTCTGAAATTTGTTATTACAAGCTATTTAGGTTGTTATTATGACTTTTTAATTATTATTTTTCTTATTTGGGACCTCATTGCAATTCTCCTTTTAATTTAACCATCTATGAGGATAGCTGTAATCATGTCAAGAGTTTCTATACTTTATCTTATTAATTTTCCTGTAATTAAGTTGGTATTTGGTGTGTGTTGATGTTTTAGGTGTATGTATGCCTCTTCTTTTTTTGCCAGAGTATGTATTTCTCTTTCACATAATACAACTGTCTCTTATAAAAAAAATATTTTAGAATTATAGTAAATGATACTATTTTAATTTAATTTTAAAATTCTATTCTTTAACATCATAATACTACATTATCTAGAGTTATGGAGGAAATTAGAATTAAAAAAGGTGGAGTTTTATATGTTCTGAACATAATTTATCCATACACACATTCTCTCTGATCTCACTATAGGGGGAAAAAAACAGTTTTTTGAGCCGTTTATAAAAATCGCTACTAATGTGAGCATTTGTTGCGGTTTTGCCTTCACCCACAATGAACCTGCAACGTTTTGACTGGTAGTGATGGGAGATTTGGTTTTGGACATTAATAGCAGTTCAGTGCAAAAGTAATTTTAATCTAAATACTCAGTTATAACAATAGTGGGGGGAGATCGGGTTTTGGACATCAGTAGTTGCATATTTGACAGTTTTGAAATGAATCCTTTTTCTTAATATTAAGCATGTCGCCTTTGGTTGAATATAGTTTTAATCAAAAATTAAATTTAATTGAATAACTCAATTCAAAGAAAAATAAATCTTGGTGGTTTTACATTCCCATTGGTTTGATTTCATCGGAATAGATCCAATAATTTATGTTTATCGATCAAATTGTATTCTTTGAATATTGTCGTCTACTAATAAAAAAGGAGATGTAAACTACACATAAACAAATGAAAAAAAAAAAACTTAGATTCAACTCATACTAAAGATAACTAATCAAACCAATAATGATAGATAAGATAACATACGTACATATTTCTTATACATTTTTTTGGGAGAATTTGACTCATTTCTGACATTGTTGAATAATAAATACTCATTTACAACAATATATATGGAATTGATTTACCTACCATTTGTAGATGGGATTTGCTCAAGAATTTTTCTAACACTTCATTTCCTATGGGAGAAGAAACAACGAGAACAACATGGGACTTGTTACAAATAATTCACAGAAAAGAAGAAAACCAACCAACCAACCAAAACAAACACAATGTGGAGAATTTTCTCATCATTTCTTCGCGTCAACCCCTTTAGTATATTGATTTGTTTGTTCTTCTCATCGTCTTCACAAGCTCCTTCCCATATATGTACCTCTCTCGCTAGCTCCTTCTAAATTCCTAGAGAGAGACATGTATAATATGAATGCATGAATATATAATCAAAGATCCTTCTTTCACCTGCCAGTTCAATCAGAATCCCTTTAAGCAAAGCGATATGTAAAGTTAATTAATCGAAGTATTAATTCTCACTGTTGGACTGCTTAGAGGATAATGATCATTATGCATGCCACGTGATTGATCTATCAAACCTGGATCCCTTAAAGTATTTCACAGGACAAAGTAGAGATGGATAATTATGTGGAATTGTACGTGAAAATGTGTGAGATCATCATTTTGTTTCCATCTCTCGCGACTTCGTCACGGTTAAGTACTTTAAACGATTCAAACTTTGATTTATGTAGGTTATTTTTTGTCTCAATCACGTGACATGATTGGAAAACAGTCTCTGCAAGTCCAACAGTGAAAAGTAATACCAATATAATTTCAAGAAACTTGACAGAATTCTCACTTTGGGAGGAAGATGTTTCAGTGATGAAACATGCATTCCCAGATGATAATGTTGAAAGGTATGTAAAGACGATGATGGTGAATTGATGATGATGATGATCCTTTCTTGCCATATAGCTTCCCTCAATGGAAGTCTCTCCCCAACTAAAAACTTTATAAAAGAATATATGTAGTGATGATGATATAGAGATCAGACATATGAAGAATCACGCCTCTTCTTGGTCATAGCTTCTGGGTTCCCTTTTCTCATCATTGCTACAAACTCTTCATAGTTTATCCTTCCATCCTGTGCACATATTTAGTAAATTAATTAATTCCCCTCTTAACTCTACAAGCAATATGTGTGTGTATCTCTATTTTATTCATAGAATTTATAACAAAGTACACTGTTCACAAACTATGGAAAAAATTATATCGATTGTGTACCTAGCTAGAGTACTTCGTTTCACAATCTTGTAGGGCTATATCTGAAGATTTTAGTTAACATCTATGTGTAACCTTGATTGATTATATTATTTGTTATAACTTGGATTAAAAAATCGTTAGAGTCATTTAAGTGGTAACATCTACTAAAATGCAAGTTGTTTTTGGATCAAATCACAGTCAAGCAACAGAGTTTTATGTACATATAAAATGAATAGTTGGGTGTTTATTAAGTGAAGACGACTTACGTGATCTGAGTCAATTTCTGAGATGATTTCTTTGATGTCCCTGCCGTCATGCATGTTGAAGTCCTTGAGAGCTTGCTCCATTTCTTCAATGGTAATGTACCTGATTTTGAACACCAATTAGAGTTTGTATAATAATACGCACACGTATATAAGGAATTTATAATAGGCTGCACTAATAGTATGCATGATGCTGTTTAACTCTCTGCAATAAATATATCAGGCCCAATCTATACGTAGTTTAATTAATAATATTAATATATCTATTGCGAATTTTACCCGCTGTTATCTTTATCAAAGTATTGGAAGGCAGTGTAGAGATGTTCTTCTTTGTTCATTCGGTTCATCTGCATCGTTGCTGTGATGAACTCGTCATAATCTATGGTTCCATTGCCATCTGCATCAGCCTGTGTAAAATTTGTACACCAAAAACATATTTTCAATATTAAAAAGAAACAAAAGAGAAAAGAAGCTGCATTTTATGAAAAGGAATATGTATATTTTTTCTCTCTATATTTGCACAAACTTTTAGAAGGAAGTCGATGTATTTAAATAAAACTGAAGAGGCCATCCGGGATTCATGATGTTCATTTTGCTTAAAGTGATGGGTTTTTTATTAAAATAAAAATTGTGGTGAAAATATAAAGAGGGAAAAGAACTTACAGCTTCCATTAATTGCTTAACTTCTTGTTCAGAAAGCTTGGTTCCTTGTTTAGCAAGGCCTTGCTTGAGCTCTTCAATTGTAATGGTTCCACTGCCATCAGTGTCCATGTTCTTGAACATTTCCTTCAATCCCATTATTTCTTCCTCTGATAGGCACCCAGCAATCACCTACTCATTCCCACATTTTTAATCGTAATTAATTAGGGCAAAGAAAAAAAGAGTCAAAAATAAATAACATAAATATATATAAATATAATATACCCTTAAAGCAGCTTTCTTGAATTGGTTCATTGCTCTAAACTGTTTGAGCCTGTTGAGCACAGCATTGTCAAGAGGAGTATCAGGTGCTTCTCCATCCTCCTTAATCCATGGATGATCTGTTCAACAAAGCCAGTTCGATCACGAGTGAAACGCTAATTAAGCAACTCTGATCTGGTTACTTTATTAGTATAATTACTGAAATTTGAAATTGAAAGGGGAAGCGGTTCATACATATATAAATCTATATATTTATATATATTAATAAACTCACTTAGAACTTGGTGGGCTGTGAGCCTGGCCTTGGGATCAGAATTCAACATTTTCTTCACAAGATCTTTAGCTGATGGTGATATGGATGGCCATGGATCGGCTGAAAAATCTACGTGGCCTCTTAATATGGCATTGAAGATGCCATGCTCCGATTCTGTCATAATATAATCCATTTCAGAAAAAGAAATTGTTATCAACCAATGTAAATATAAAGTCTCTAAGAAATCCAAATGATCTTCTCAATCAAACAACTATGTTATTGGCCTTGTTTAACATATGTTGTTCCACTTCAAACAAATCCAATCCAATGTTTGGATTCACACATATATAGTTGATTTTGTCAATTGTTAATTTAGCAACATTAATTGTTGGTCTGATGATTTTTTTTATGTTGCGTTTGTTGTATTAAAAGTTTCATCTAATATTTTAATTCGATTCAGGTCACTTGAAACTTGCAATTCAATTAATGTTCACGATTTTTTTCATTTTCATTCAAATTTTTGCTATTAACCCGAACACATTACTGATTTATATATGCTAATTAAGTTTTAAAGCAGTGGGGATATGGCTAGGAATTAATTGAGAGAGAAGAATAATGAAGAGTGTAAAGTAAATAAATGAACCGTACCAGCCCAAAATGGAGGAACACCACAAAGAAGAATGTAGAGCATGACACCAATACTCCAAATATCAACTTCAGGCCCATATCTCCTCTTCAATACCTCTGGAGCTATATAATATGCACTCCCAACAATATCTTTAAATGTCTCCCCTGTTATGTATCAACAAATGAAGAAAATTTGTATTGATTCTAAATAATGTAAGACCTCAGTCTATCCTATTCCTAAATTTATAAGTCTTCTGAATTTTTCATATTGATTGTATATATTGAGAGAGTTTAATTTTCATCAAGAAGTAGTTTCCAATACAGATAATTAAAATATTCTAGAACAACTAACTATATTTTGTAAATAATTAACCTAACTAATTTTTTTGAGTTTATAAATTATGTTAGCTTCCAATAGACTTATCAAATTCAAAAAAAAAAAAAACTTATATGTGTATTGAATCATATGATATTTCCAACTACTGATTGAAATTTAAATAATATTAGAGCTGAAACAGGAAACTCTCTCGGCGTTTTTTTTTAATTCACAAAACCTATATATATTAAGCTTATCCAGAAAATTTAATTCAAATATATTTTTTTCTCTTTCATGAATTAAGATGGTTTTTTTCCCCCTTTTCTGGTTAAAACTTGAAAAGAAAATCTCATGATCATGAAACTACGTAGAAGAAGAGAGACAATTCGAAATCAGAGAGAGAAATGAAAACCTTCTTTGTAGAAAACGGATAAACCGAAATCGGTGGCCTTGAGAGGCGAATCCTCCTTCTTATTCAAGAGCAAGAAGTTCTCAGGTTTGAGATCTCTATGAATCACGCCCATGGAGTGACAAGTATGAACGATCTGCACTATCGTCCTCATCAACGACGCCGCCGCTCGCTCCGTGTAATGACCCTTCTCGATGATCCGATCGAACAGTTCGCCGCCGGCGCACAGCTCCATCACCAGATGCACCGAATGTTTATCCTCATACGCTCCTTTCAGCTCCACCACGTTCGGTTGTCCCGCCAAATGATGCATTATCTGAACCTCCCTCCTCACGTCCTCGATATCTTCTTTGTTCGCGAGCTTCCTCTTCCCGATCGTCTTGCACGCGTATTGTTGTCCGGTGGCCTTATGCGTACACAAATGCGTGACTCCGAATTGTCCTCTTCCTAGCTCCTTTCCTATGGTGTACGTGGCTTTCACGTCTTCCATGGGACGCTGGAGCACGGGACCCATTGGGCCGGGTTTCGCGGCTTTGGACGGAGGAGGATTAGGGGCCGGGGATGATTTCCCCGAACTCTGGTGGTTGCTGGCACCGCCACCGCCTTCTCCTCCCCCTCCTCCGGTGTTATTATTGCTGCCTTGGGAGTTGTTGTTTGTTGATCCTCCCTTGGCAACCTCGGCCGATTCGGCCGGGGCATCGGTGTCGTTGCTCTGAGAGCAACAGTTGCCCATGGCGGGGGAGGGAGGAGATGAGAGAGGCAGAGGGTGAGAGAGAGGAGGAGGAGGAGGAGAAATAATATAAGGGTGAAAAAAGAACTGGTCTTAAGGTTTGATGTAATATTATTGAAGGTTGGTGAAGACACTGTGTGTTTGGAGGGACAATTGTACAAACAAACAAGACAAAACGGAAAAAAAGAAAGTAAAGAAATTAAATTTGTTTTTAAAAAAATAAAATTGGATTAAAAAAACAAAATTAAGTCCAAGTGTGTGAAAAATGAGAGTGTGTGCGCTAATAATAGTGAGAGAGACATATTTTAGGAAGGTTAGAAGATGGTCATTGAAAGAGTCATTGTCGTGTCTTCTACGTGGGAAGTTTTAGGGTTTTGTTGAGACAAAAGGTGAAGAGGGTTTTTCGGACAAGAAAATTATCAGTACGTACAGGGCTTGATGTCATTAAGGTATCATGCATAAATATAAGAGATTATTGAGTCGTTACTTTGTAATACAAGTAATGATTTTCTTCTGGTAGGAAGAAAGAACTCTTGAAGCACAGATAGAATAATTTTCTTACTAGGGATCATTGAGTAGTTAAGAAGCTTCGAGGCTGTTTGTTTTGGTTTTTTGTTTTCTTGTTCTCAAAACAACTTTATAAAATTGTTTCTTAAAATAATTTTTGAAAACAAAAAACAAAAGAATTTGTTTGGATAATAATTTTAAAAATCATGTTTGAAAAACAAATCATACAAAATCATACTTGGTAGGTGATAGTTATCGTTAGTAATGATAAGTTGTAGATAGTAGGTAAGAAAAGAAGAAGATTTCTCAAAATTTTTTAAAATTAAAAATTAAAAAATTAAAAACAAAAACAAGAAAACATGTGGAAGTTGTTTTGATTTTTTAGTTTTTAAAAACATGTTATTGTTTTTTGCTTTTTAAAACAAGTAACTAAAAACAAATTACCAAACAAGTATTTTTGTCTTTATGTTTTTAACAACAAAAAATTGTTTTCAAAACAAGAAACCAAACAACTCTTTCAGTTTTTTTTTAGGTAAAGAAAAATTGAAGTGATTTAGATCTCAAGAGCTTACCACAACTAAAGCATTTTTATTGTCTTAAAGAACGCTTACAGAAGTACTTACAGATTATCTACCAATAAAATTCTTACATTAGCAGCAAAATTTAAACTTATAAGTTATGAACTGATTGCTTACAAATTAGATCAACTCTTGCCACCAATTTTATAGTTTATATCTTAAACTCAAGTCTTATAAATTGGTTAAAAAAAATGTGTATTGAGAGTTTTCCTTCAATTGGAACATACCCAACTCAAATCTGAATGATTTGTTATCGAAAATAGAATAATTTGTTAATCCCTCCTAAAATTTAATTGGAAAAACAAGCATCATGAATACAAGTAAATTAACTTCAATCTTATCATAATATATCATACTGAAAATGACCTGACTCAACCTTCACTAGTCAGTTTGAGCACGTATTTTACCAAGTCTGCCTACAGACAAATCATCATAATATTGAATTATTGATGAATGTTTCCGTTCAAATTTTCTTTCTTCCTTCCCTTTTTCTTTTTCTTTTTCTTTTTTTTCCGGTAACAATTAAGCTTTCCTGAATTTGCTGTTAGGAAATTTCATCCAAAACGGACATTAAAAATAGCAATTCCCTGACACTAACATCAAAATTTACAGTTTTGTGGTAAACACAACCACAATAGCCTGTGCCACTTGAAACGGCATTTATAGTATATACTTCCATTGGCTCTTAGCACAACAACCATAAATTTGTTAATCTAGATCATCCAAATTAGATTCATACAGTCCAAATCTTATTTTAACAATAAGCACACATAATGATGAGCCCCAAGTCCATTTTCTCATGGTATACTTTCACTGGCTCTTAGGCCTTAGCAGTATAATCAACTAAAATATTTATAAGCACTTGTAAAATGCCTGGACTTCAAATGTAACAGAAATCAACGGGGCCAGTAAATAAGAATAAACAATGTAGACTATATGAAAATTACAGCCTCGTACTCCAAAGTCCACTACTTGCCTCAAATACTCGTTTGAAATCCCAAAAATAACCTACACTAACGACCCTCTCTCCCAACAAAATCGCACTATCATGTATAGAAACATGGAACATCATGCACGCAGAAATCTATTGTATGAAGACGTCCGGGGAAGGAAAACAAAATGCACTAGTAAGTTGGGACTGATGGATCAACCTTCATAGCATATGCATGGATTCCCCCAGATACATTGTATACTCTTCTAAATCCCTAATACAGAAACATCAACACAATCAGAAAAAGAAGTGGAATTTCAGTCCAGTAGTGCATTCATTAAAAGTTCACATTAACAACAGCAATAATGAAAAGCAACAGAAAATTGATAATTAACAGAAAACACAATAGCCTTGCTTGGAAACATGATGAAAACCTTAAACGAAACCAAAACTTGGCATTGTACCTGTGACTGCAACCACTTGGCAACTTGCAAGGACCGCACGCCATGATGACACTGCATTTTCAAAATCTAGTTACTGAACACATTGACAAATAGAATTGTGCAATGAAACACAGATTTGTTAGAGACTGCCAAAATTTTGGATTGCAGGATGCTATTGATAAGCAGTCAAGCACCTTTTAGTCAAAACATTCAATGAATATAAATTCAGTATAAAGTGAATCGAACTTAGATATAAATGAAAATACAATGTAATCAGATGAGGAACTATCAACTGGCAAACGACATGGAAAATGGCCGATACCTGGCTTGCAATAAACAAATGGAGAGAAAAACCTATAGAAATTCATATTCTAACCAAACCTATAGAAATTCATATTCTAACCAATCCTTTAGACAACACGTTAATTCAGTGCCATGGGCACAAGCATTAGTACTTGTGCAGGTACAGGTATTGGTATTGTGATATATACTAAATAAATCAAAGAAAGTCCCCCCCCCCCACCAAAAAAATCCGTCCCCCAGTTTTTCTCAAAATTAAGAAAACAATATTTAATTTAAAGAAAGTAAAATATCTCATCGACAAAAGAACAGTACAATATATTTGGTTCAATTTTAAATTGGAAATTGAATTTAAAGAACCAAAAACAAAAGTACTACAAGGCTGGTTTCCTAGGTTCCTCTTGTGAAACACCAACATCTTAAGATAGGTAGGTTGTACTCACCAAGACATATGTATCCTTGTTAGGGTCAAATGTGCTACTAATATCAGGTCCCCAATTTCCAAATTGTCGGAGGGGAAGAACCTTAAAACCTGGCAGACGTGCTTTCTCCCTGTATAAAAGGAATATACCAAGAAGTGGTAGAAAAACATAAATAAGCTGTTCATGTAAATAGAACAACCTGAGAGGAGGACATCAAGAAAACTAAAGAGAAAAATAGACAAAACAGTGGAAGAGCCTCTACATGAATATCTCACAGACAAATAGGAGTAGACTACCACTCTGTTTTCCATGGGATGCTTAAAAAAGGCTTTAATGTGGCAATGCTCTCAATGCTTTGGCAAAAAGAGTACATCAACTTTTTACTTTCTTCTCTTAATGAAACTTACTGCCTCCACCTTATCGCTTTAATATCATCACTCCTTCACTCAATTTAATCTTGTTTACACATGTAAAACAAACGCAATCATAACATCACATATTTTAATGATTCCTAACACCAGTTAGAGTTGAATGAAATAAAACCATACACTTCCTCAGGCTCTCGAACATCAATCAATTGTGCCTCCTCCATAAAGTTGGGATCTTGAATTTTCGCATGAAGCATGTCAGGCTGAATGTCTTGAAGAACAGTTTCTTCCCTATGGGAAAATCAGCAAATAAAAAAATACATGATACTGACTGAGAGACTACACATCCAGACATTAATCACCAGTTGAATATCCAATGTCGAAATATAGGCTCGATGTTGAACATACCTTTCAGATAAAACTTGAAGAAGGTGCCATCCAAATTTTGTTTTACACCTTACAACTTTGTTTAAAGGTGCATTAAACGCAGCGTCCTCAAATTCAGGAACCTGTCATAATATCACCATCATACATATGTTCAACACCCATTATAAAAGAAATGATCATTGGCTTAGATGGCGAAATAAATTTTTAGTTTTTTGCTTGAGCACCAGATGAACACAACAGCTTCTATTATCTAAAGAATCAAATGTCAAGAAATGATAACCACTTTTACCCAATATACACGAACAATCCATTTTTATAGCACAAAATTCAGTTTTAAGAGTCTTTCAAGGCAAAAAGGATTCAGAAGCAGCATAGTAGGTAAACAGTAATGCCAGAGCATGCCATATATAATTTACATCAATCAAAACATCAGATAAAAGATGTCTGATAAGAAAGGTAATGTGACCTCACAGTGCTCTCTAATTCAAAGGTCAACCAGAAAGCTTCCTTTTGCATCATTAGCAGTACGAATTTTCAGCAGCGAAAAGAATATTGATAGAACTAAAATGAATAGTGTAGCTCATCTAAGACTCTTTGCAATGAAGAGGAACGACGCTATTTCTGCCAAAGTCAGCTCATAAGCATACTGTTCAGCATTTGGCAAAAAAATGCGCTTCACCTCTACAAGCACCATCTAATGAAATGAAACAGAACTGAAATGCTAAGCTCAGCTACTGAGTAAAAGTTATCGACCTGTTATTAAATTTTATCAGAAAATATTGAGCAGATAAAAACATTCAAGAACATCAGTTCTAAAATTTGTTATTCTTGATGCTCGTTATCTGAGTGACAAGGTGCCCGGATGTTAAGCAATACATTCATTTTATATATTTTGTTTTATATATTTTAGAATATCATAGATTGTGGGACCGAGAAGGCAAAGAGAACAACGATGAAATTCCGTAAGCATGTTGTGTAAACTGTTAAAGTTAGACCTATATATTCTTGTTTCTTCTAGTAAAATGAGTTAACTAGCAAATATTTCGGATCTCGTCACTCTTAATTTGAATTGATTTTAACGAAGTGCTATCTGATTAACTTACCATCTCCCCCTTTCTCACCCACCCAAGCATTCCTCCTTCATCTTTGGATGGGCATATTGAGTATTCTACCGCGAGATCACTCAAGTCTTCACCTGAAGTTGTACAGATATAGTAGCAAAGAACTACAAAGTTAAACAGCAGAAAAATTTCTTCCAAAGTGTATCTTTCAAATTTATAACCTATACATTCACTGAACAAAAAGTTCGCTAATTTGTTTTGTATAAACAACCATCTGTCAGATTTTAACACACTCAATCGGGAACGTTAAATAGTTTGATAGAATTATGATTTCCACAGACGTAACAAAATAAATCCTTACCTGATGAGATTCTCTGCTGAAGATCCAATAGCAGCTTCTGGTCATCTTCATTGACAAGCAAGTGTTGCACCAGGATCTCCCTAGCACCATCACCGTTGTTGCTGCTGCTGCTGCTGCACAAGGCTGACAGAGTGTACATTTGGAAATTCATCATTGGAAAGTATGAATACCATGTAAGCCTTGTCCCAAGATTTGTCCCAGAGCGTTTTAAATATATGTAGGTGAAATACAGTTTTACTTCTTTTCTGTTGTATCAAAAAAAAAAAAAAAAAGAATAAAGTTTTAGTGGCAGCCAATTACCGCCGCCATCAACGGCCAACAGAGTTTATCCGACTCCATGAAAATATGAAAGAGTAACTGTAAACACTTCACATTCACGCTCTGCATGCCCTCTCGCAGCATATGATTAATTATCAGTTCAAAAATTGTATCACCGTAGTGACGATAACAATTTCTCAGAAAACAAAATAGCTTCATTTTTCATGCTGTTCATAAAAAAGTACACCCCAAAATTATACGCTTAGAATCAGATTGAAAAAGTCCCAACAAGCAGAAAATGGATTGGGGGGAAAGATTAAACCAATATGCAAATCCCACCAATAATCAGAAACGAAATCATGAAGTAATTCCAGAGAATTCGAAGGATTGGTACCTGCTACTTGGGGGCGTGACAACCCCGCTGGAGGAAGTAGTTGGAAGAAATTGAAGGAAGAAAGAGGGTGCAAAGGAATTTGAAATCTATGAGAGGAAACCTTGAGAGATGGGGAACAAGTGAAGGCGCGAAGATTGGAAGAAGAAGAGCAGGAGAGAGCGGGAATCAGAGATAGCCTCAAAGCACTGAGAGCTGGAGACGCTTTCATTGGAAAATGTGAAGCTCTTAGCATGGTTGCACAGAGTGAATCAAAATCGCGTAATGGAGGCACGATGGCACAGCACCGTCGTTTGACAGCATTTAACAGTTTGGGAGAATGACAATCAGGGGTCAGAAATTTAATTACTTGTGAAAACTAAATGATTACTTTTTTTTTTTTTTTAACGAAAAGAGTCAATTTTATTGATCAACAAAAAAACAATTACACTCACTAATAGGGAAAGCAGTAAAGAAAACCATAAACCTAAATACAACCTATAGAAAACGGAAAGAGGACAAATAAACCTAGCATACAACCTACAGGAAATAAAGGACACACAAAAACTACAAAAGAGATCAACCAACACCAGTACGAGCAGTCCTCCTTTCAGTGGCAAGATGAGTATTTATTCTACCATCAGAAGAGTCGGCCATCAAGATATCAATCAGAGGGGTTGGTGCTGTTTCCAGCCACCCATTGGGTGCCACTCCCCTACTTCCAGCAGCTGCTAAAAAATCAGCAGCACTATTCCCTTGGCGAGCTACCAAAGAAAACTTCACTCCTGGCCTATCCTCTAATAGCAGAAAAACTTCCTTTAAGATATCCACAGATTGCCATTCCACACCATCCAACGAGTTAGCAGTCAAACACTTAAACACTGCTTCACAATCAATCTCAATGCAGCAATTGTATGACTGAAATCTGTCACAGGCCAATAATGCTTCCTTCACAGCAAAACATTCAGCACCAAAGGCTGAACGAGCTTCCACTCTTTTCCCAAGTCCTCCTAGGAATAATCCATCATTATTTCTGCAAACTACACCTATCCCAGCACGCTTCAGACCTTTAGCAAAAGCTCCATCAGCATTAATCTTTACAGTGCCTTCTTCAGGTGCCACCCAATTCAACATTCTCTCCACACCTCTTCTTCTGCTGACAATCCTCCCATTACTATCATCCTTAGCACTCCATACCTCTCTAACCAGCATAGATGCAACGTCGATAGTTCTTCCAGCATCCACATTGATTCCATTGAACACCCAGTCGCACCTTCCCTTCCATATACCCCAACAGATGCTAGCAATGAGAGCTTTCCCTTCCTCTGAGATTTGTTTGTTAGACACAAACAAATCCTCACACCACTTCCTTATACTTGACACCTGATCTCTACCAATATGCAAGGCCAAAGAGCAGCCAAACCAGCAACGACGTGCCCAAGGACACAAGAGCAGCATGTGTTCTACAGTTTCATCCTCACTTTCACAAATAGGACATATACTATCCTGACTACACTTCCTGCGAAATAAAGCATGTCTAGTGGCTAAAGCATCATGTAACACACGCCACATAAAATGCCTAATTTTTGGGGGCACATGTAGAGACCAAATGCATTTCCACAGTTGGTTAGTGACCTGCCCAGAGCTGCTCGGTCTTTGATCAATCTCTGATCCTTCCATCAATTTAGCAATTCGATAGCCCATTTTTACACTATATTTACCATCTCTGCTACCCAGCCACACAGCCTTATCCTTCCCCCTATCAAATAGGAATTTGGTTTGCAAAATTGCTCTCCTCTCTTCTTCAGTAATCTTTCCTTCAATACAGTTTAAATTCCAAAATCCATCTTTGATTAGCTCTGCCACTTTTAACTCCTTCTCAGCATCAGAATCAGGAGTGTAACTCAACTTCTTTTCAGGCAAATCCAGAATCCATTTATCTCCCCATATCCTAACCTCGTTTCCATTCCCAATCTGCCAGTACATGTCTTTGTTCAATAAATCTCTTCCTTCAATAATACTCATCCAGCACCAAGAAGCTTTACCACCTTTTTTTGCTTCCATGAAAGTACAGTTCGGAAAATAAATTCCTTTCAGTATTTTACACCACAATTCATTAGGATTCTGCACAATCCTCCAAGCTGTTTTAGCCAAGAGAGCCTTATTGAAAACGTGAAAACTTCTGAATCCCATACCACCATCCTTCTTCACCTCTGTCAGAGCCTTCCATTTCCTCCAATGGATCCTCTTGCCATTTTTTTCATTCTGGCCCCACCAAAAATCAAAGATCAAGCAATCTATCTCTTTACAACTCTTTTTTGGAAATAAAAAGCTGGACATGGGGTAGACCGGAATGGAATTTGCCACTGCCTTAATCAGAATTTCTCTTCCAGCAAAGGTCAATAGTTTCTGCTTCCACCCTTGCAACTTTTTACTAATTTTGTTTTTGACAAACCCAAGTGCAGCTGCTTTGGATCTACTCCAAACTAGAGGCAGTCCCAGATACTTCCCCGGCTCCACCACAGCTTTAATGCCCAAAGCATTCTCAATTTCACCTCTGGAATCAGAACTAGTGTTTGCTGAGAAGAATATGCAAGATTTATCAAGATTCATCTCTTGCCCAGATGCTGCACTAAAGGTCTCAAGGATCTTCTTCATCACCATACAATTTTCTTTTTGAGCTTTAAGGAAGAACAAAGCATCATCAGCAAAAAAACAGTGAGAAAGAATGGGCCCCCCTCTTGATAAGCGAATACCCTTCAGATCCCCACAGGCTACATGCTTCTGCACCACCAATGATAATACATCAGCTACTATGATGAACAGATACGGGGACAATGGATCTCCTTGCCTAATTCCTCTCCCAGGTTTTATTTTCGCCACTTTCTTCCCAGAAACCAGCAACTCAAAGTCAACAGAAGTTACACACTCCATTATCCACCTAACCCACTGAATGGAAAAGCCCATTTTCAGCATAGCTTCCATTAAAAATATCCAATCAACACGGTCATAAGCTTTGCTAAAGTCTATCTTCAAAGCCAAGTCATTCCTGCTTCCTTTCTTCCTTCTCTTAAGAAATTGGAAGGCTTCATGAGCTATAATCACATTATCTTGAATCAATCTCCCCGGGATAAAGGCGTGTTGCTATTCAGAGATGTATTTACACATCAAAGGCCTCATTCTTGAAGTTAGGATTTTTGCAATGATCTTATAAGATACATTGCAGAGGCCTATTGGTCGAAAATGGCTAACCACTTCAGGCTTATCAACTTTTGGAACAAGGACAATGTGAGTCGAATTAATCTTCCTTAGCTCAGAATGACCATTAAAGAAAGATCTCACCATGCTACAGACTTCCTTTTTGATTTCCATCCAAGAAGACTGATAGAACAAGGCAGTAAAGCCATCAGGCCCAGGAGCTTTTGTTGCCCCTAGATCAAAAACTGCTTCCTCAATTTCAAGATCAGAGACTTGTTTAGTCAGGGATTCATTCTCTTCCTTAGATATTACAGTAGGTACATATTCCAAAACCTCTTCCATCTGCACAGCTACCTTACTAGAGAACAGGTCACTATAGAAAGCATTAAACATATCATTAATCTTCTCAGAATCCTCAACCCATTCCCCCTCATCAGATTTCAACTTAAGGACTTTATTCCTCAAACGACGCTGGATCACAGTACTATGAAAGAAGCTAGTATTTCTATCACCATATCTGATCCAATTTAATCTAGACTTCTGCCACCAAAAAACTTCTTCACGATTCCACGCCTCTTCAATACATTTCAAGACCTGGCTAACCTCAGCTGCTTTATTCTCTGTCCACTCACCTTCATAACAAACCTCCAACTTACTCCTCAGATCTTCAATGACTTTTTTATTATTCGAAAATTCTCTTCTACTCCATTCTAAGAGAATCCTTCTGCATCTGGTCAATCTTTGAGTAAAGTCATCGATTCCATTACCAAAGAAAGCAACATCATTCGGCCAGCCATTAGCAATAGTATTAGAGAATTGATTATGCTCTATCCACATAGCATTAAATTTGAACATTCTTGGCACTCTTTCCTCCTGATGACAGCAGTCAACTATCAAGAGGTGATGATCAGAGCCTATAGGTTCAGTGTGAAGGACAAGTGCTTTGCTAAAGGAGGTTCGAAACTCTACATTTCCAAATCCTTTATCAATTCTCTCTCGAATATTATCTCCTCCCATCCTCTTATTATTCCACGTAAACCTTGCACCTTTAAATTCAAGGTCAATCAAACCACAATCATCCAGTACCTTTCGAAAATTGAGAATTTTCGTGAGAGAAACCGGCTTACCTCCCTCCTTTTCAGACTGGGATCCAAGCTCATTAAAATCACCAACACAAATCCATGATCCCACCACACCCCTTGCCAAAGATCTCAGTCTCCTCCATACAATCTCTCGATCACTTTCTCTAGGTGCACCATAGACAAAAGTGGCATAGTCTGGTACACTAAGAATAGTAGAGGACAGTTTAACATGGATCAAGTTCTTTGATTGATGAAGTACCTCTAGCTTAACACCTTCCTGCCACCATAAAGCCAAACCTCCTGATCTTCCTACAGGATCCACAAAGAATTCATTATCAAGCCCACAAGCTCTTTTAATTCTCTTCATTCTTCTTCCAGACATTCTTGTTTCCATTAAGAAAACAATTGAGGGTTTATATTTATTGTTACATTCTTTTAAATTCTTGACTGTCAAGGCAACCCCCAAACCTTGACAGTTCCAGGATAGCATCCTCATGGCTCCATGGGGGCTGTTAAAGGTCAGCCACCCATGCCTTCAGCAATAATTCTCTTCCTACCTCTCCTCTTCCCACCTCCTTCGTTACCTTGCTTCACAAGAGCCAATTGACTTTTCATCTTAGCATTCCTTCTGACTCTACCTTTGGTCTTCCTTAGATTCTCAGCATATAGGGAAATAGGATTCAGGATCTCGCTCTGTTCACTGTCTATTCTTTGTTTTTTCTGTATACTTGCCTCTAAAGCTTCTTCAGCATCACGCTTTAGTTTCAAGTTACAGAAACTTTCAGTAACCTCTTCTGTAACCTTCACAATATTCCTTCCATTAAACACCACTAGTGCCTGGTTATCAGGCTCTTCTTCTGAGGGTAGATCCACTCTATAACCACACTCTGCAGCAACCGTAGGATCCGTTTTTTCAACTACAATATCAACATTATTACTCTTGAGTCCACTTGGTCCAGCATCATTAAAATTCACCTTTACTGGACTCATGTGCTCTGCCTCAGAGTTGAACTTTCCTCATTCAAGGCTACTTCCTCAAATTCCTCTTTTTTATTCTTCAGCTCCTTATCTTCCCTCCAACTACGTTCATTGTTTATTTTTCTACTATTGCTCTTCCTTACAAATTCAATAGCAAAAATGTCATTGCTATCAATTTGTTCAGAGCTTCTCCTCACCCTTCCTTCCTCCTTCATCCTCCGCCACCTCTCATTAACTTCTTTCCACCCTTCTCTTATCACAACGACAGATTCCTCCCATGTTTTGACCTGTTCAGTAGTAATCCAATTGCCATATCGTGGCAATCCTGGATTCTTGATTGCCATTAGTCGAGGATGCACACAGGTACGAAAATTATGCCCAACCAAGCCACATTTATAGCAGAAGTCCTGCAGCTTCTCATAGCGTACTGATATCCAGGCCTGTTCACCATCAGGTTTAGTGATCCAAAAACCCGAAACCAAAGGCTTCCTTAGATCCAGAACTATCCGCACACGGATAAAGCTTCGAAGCATACGGTTATTATACTTTGGATCCTCCGCCATCACAACATCGCTAATTTTACTTCCCATGCTAATCGCATTAGCTAAACAGATCGCCTCAAGAGGAACACCATGTAACTGAATCCAGATCGGACATTTACTAAAATCGCATTCCTCAATCGCCATGAATTTCTTCCATTCCAGCAAATTCAGCATTTGTCCATTGATCGACCATGGCCGACCTCGCAAGATCCTATTAAACTCCTCTTCTTCATCAAACTTAAACAAGAAGGCATTCTTCGCAACAGTCGTAACATCTAAACCAGTTTGAAGATTCCAAGCCTTACGAACGATAGTCTCAACTGCAGCTCTGCTACTCTCCTTCTCTGCTAGGATTTTCCCTACCATCACCAACATACCTTCATCCTTATTCCAGACAAGAGGATCATTGAAACAATGATCACTACTATCGCCGTCAGCCGACGTAGGCACCGTTGTCAACTCATTGCCAGCCATCTCCGATCATTCACCACCACTTTCAGTCACCGATCCGCCTCCAAACCGCCTTTCCCGCCTAAAAACCGTTATACCCAACTCTCACTCTCACGTGTTTGCACGGAGAGAATTTTACGCTCCTACGCGCCTAGCACGAGGAGAACTTGAAAAAGTAAATGATTACTTGCAATTAAACTTTTGATAATTAAACCTCCTCTTCTTTCAAGAAATCTTCATAATTCTCCTTCTACAGTTTCACTGAGATTTCAAATCAACTGTGGGGTGTTTGGAGAACCCCAAAATCACTTTGTATTTTTTCTGAAATAAATTATTTCACATATTTATTGTATATATTATAAAAGTATTTTTAAAATTATGGTTTTGTTTTTATCTAAATATCCCTTCAATGAAATTAAAGTTAAATTAGTGGAATAAAACTCTTTTCTGTATTTAATGACAATATTTCTGATCAAACAATATACTTTTTTATCCTATTTATAAGACATTTTTAACATATTTTATATAGATAAAAAAATTTAAACTGTATTAACTCTTTTTTAAAATATAACAAATATTCAATTTTACCCTTATTTAATATATATACTTTTAAAAAAATTAATTATCTACATTATAATAAATAAAAGACAAAAGAATATATTCATATTAAAATATTAATGAAATGACTCATAAATAAAACCGAAGTAAATCTTTTCTCTCTAATTTATAAATAGGACCAGAAAAATATATCAACAATTAATTAAATTTTATGACAAATTAGTATTTTTAGTTGTTTTTATTAATATGTTGGAATTAATTAGAAGGTTTTTTTGTCAATCGAAAATCACAAAATTATTAATTTTTAAATATATTTCTTTGAATTTATATATAGATATACATTAAAAAAACAAAAACATCGAAAAGTTGAGTTGTTGAATTTTAATGTACCGTAACCGCTAACCACCTAAGAATTTTGACACTCGTATATGGCAGATTATAACATGTTTATTAAGCAAATGAACTCTTACCCTTAAAAAAAACTCCTGTTCTAGAAATTGTTTAAATTGAGTCTCATTGGAAGAAGTATATGGATTTATTATCAACTAAAATTATTGTATATGAAAATAGTACATACAAGTGTGTGAGCTTATCGATTTATATAACACTGCATTGAGCTATGAGACTTAACTCATAAGTAATAAGCCCTTAAGACTCAACTTTGAAAAAAAGAAAATGCATTAAAATTCTGAGAGAAATCGACCAATATGCTTAACCTGGCCACGACGGTTATAATTATAAAGTTTTCCTTTTACTGTGAATTTCACGCGAAACCAGATTCAAAAAAATTTGTCAAACAATTAATTCCAGTAAATTTCTCCCGCTTTTTTTTAAGTGAAAATTTCTTCCCATTTTTAATATAGGTCACTTCTATCTTATGTCCTCAATGGAACATGAAAAAGTAGTTAAATAAATCAAATTGTTTTATTTTTTTGGGTCAAAAAATTCATTCAAATTGTTTGTAAATGAAATAGATTTCTAAGTTTCATTTAAAAGCATAAATTTCCAAAAAATAATTAATACTCCACTTTTCAACCAACACCCTCTTTACTGTGAATCAACTCTATCAATTTACTGAGCAAGTTGAGAGAATCCTAATCCCTTTTGCTGATTCACACAAAACTGATCTAGGACTTTCTCTAACCATGTTCCACCTCATTTTGATTTTGAGTGAAGTTAGATTAAACAATGAGCCTCCTCTCTCTCTGCATGGGCCAGCCTTTCCCAAGGGAAAAAAATTTATAAAAAAAAAAAATCCCCGAAACCATTTTAGGTGAAACCTAACAGGGCTTCAATCCCCTTTTTTTCTTTTTTGGGTAATAATCCCATATTTATTTCCCTTCACAGAACATGCAAACAGAAATATAATAAACTAAAAACTATAAGAATAACTATTTTCCCTTTTCCGCCTCAAATGACCATTACAGAAAAGCAGAGCTGAATCAATTTGATTCTTGTACCATGTTTAGCTCGAGGTGGAATCTGATTCGGTGGGAGAAGAGGAACCATTGGGAGGGATCCAAGCATAAATCAGCAAGCCCAGGACCAGAATGACGGCACCTGCAATGAAGCCTGCTGGGAGAGAGGAGGCACCGCCAATGTATGGCAATGGCAGAGTGAAGATGTAGATAGATATCGGAACTGCCACACACAATAAAGTTCCATCAGTTAGGTCTTCTTCATGAACGCTTTCATAGCAGGGGAAAAAAAAAAAAAGTGAAACCTATGGCCAATTCAAATTAAGACTCATGAATAGTTGCTTTATATGCAATTTCTGTAGTTGCTATCAAGATTGAATGAGATAGGTTGGGGTGTAAAAATATCTGGGGACAAAACTCTGGCTCAGTGGCTCCCATGTCATTCTTAGTGGGTGCGTCTGTAATCAGTACACACACACACACACACACCCACCCCCTTATATAGCATATCCACCAATATCTTATACTTTATAGTAATCTTTAACATGCCTTTTTTCTCAAGATGTGTGACAAGGATCAAACTCTCGACTATTCAGATACGGGGGATCTAATACCATGCCAAAAGTCACTTTAACTTGAAACCTTAAATTTAGTGAAATCTCATGAATACGTTCATTATGTTCTATTAATGATTTCAACTATTGCCACATATGCGGAGGGCAAATTAGATGGTCGAGATCACAAAGGTATTCTAGCCAAAGAAAGTGGAAACAGAATATCATTAAGAAAGGACGGCAAGAGAAATTCCTTGCACCTATTAAAAAGTCTTTTCATGCATCTATAAATCCTGCCAAACAGTCTATCCACTTTTCATTTATTCATAATTTTTCCTTAAAGTACTTTAGATAACCTCCGATAAAGAACAAAGAATAGTTCCCAATCAAAGAATAGTTCCCAATCAGCCTAACAACTTGCCCATATTATCATTAGATTACAGTGAAAAGCTTTTTCCCTTTGGGATATACCTATACCAATTAGTTTTCGAAAGTTAAACTAAATCTTGACTGATCCAGGTTATATCAGGTCAAAACACATTGGTATAAAGCTCTCCTGCGGCAATTTTCTCCATTCGCAAGACTTAAACCAAGACCTTGCTCGAGGAAGTGTCAGACAACCTGAAACAACTGCTATTGGTATTTACAATGGAAGTTTTGGTGGAGAAATTTGCGGTCTATCAATTCAAGAGCTAGGAAAATAGATCACCAACTAGGGACATATATTCTCAATCAGTTTGCCATACAATATTCGATTATTCTAACATTCCAGAGGGTCATATACCAGGAAATAGGTTACTACTTCCATATGACTGGATCAAGCGCTGCAATTTTATATTAAAAAAACTGAAAGATCTAGTGAAAATTAATGGAACTAAATCATGGATCTTACAAAAGAGTCCTGATACAGGAGGATTAGCAATTTTTATTTTGGTAACAAGTTACTGGATTCAGAAAAGCATCATCATTCAAATTCTCTGGTTATATCTAACTCATAGAAGACAAGAAGACTGGCTTATATAGACTAACTTGGTATCCATACTCTAAACAGACTCAGTACAACGCTCCAAGCAACCAATCAAAAGATTGTTGCAAAATGTATTATTAGCTTTAAGAGATGTAGACTAATCATTGTTAATCATTTAATTAGGTCGGACCCTTTCACCAGATTACCAGGCCAGTTGGAGTAAGGCATTTTGAGTCAGTGAGGTTAAATTGAACTGAATCAGATTAAGTTTCATCATATCATTTAAGTCATCTTAAAAACAAAACCCACCTGCCATCAAATTTTACCAACTTTGTTTATAATTCCAAGCAGCTAGGTAAACAAAAAGTATAAAAAGCTTCTCTTTTGTAGTTTGTTTAGGCTACCACTGCAGGAGTATAATACGGTCTTCTATTTCCTCAGAATTCCCACGCAAAAGAATTCATTCACGTAGCGTGAGGAACAGAATTTCAATATGAATACTCAAACCGCCGATTATCCAAATGTAGAAAATATTTATTACTACTTACTCTTTTAGCTTAAGCATCTTCAACAAAAGGGGAAAAAACAAAACTATTACAATATATCACGTGCAAATCATGATTCAATTTATGGTTAGTGATATCATTTTCAGCCACATAGTCTGTCTCATTGATCATATAAACAACCTTACTGGCCATAATCGCATAGAATCCTAACGATGTATTTTTGTAAAAATTTTCAGGTTATATGCTTTTATATTCCTTAATGAGTTGCCTTTTACTGCCACACAAGAATCCAATGTGACTCTTCCTCCACATCCTTAAAACCCAAAATAGCACTTCTTGCCAACAAAAATCTCCAGAGAAAAGCATATTGCCATTACCTCGTAGAACTATTCTTTCCCCTTTTAATCTTTGTTTTAAGGGGGGAAAAGCATATCAGCAGCCAATATCCTTACCACCAGCCACCCATTCCCATAGGTTAATCATCAATACTCCAAATTCATTAAAACAAAATATTCACCAAACACCAATTATAGATCTCAAACAAAAAAAAAACAAAAACAAAAACAAAAATCAGGCCACCAATCTAAGCAGGTCTCGTTATTAAATTCTTCACAAGTATACCTCACTGAAATAAATCACATACCGCAAAGGGTGGCGGCAAGACAAGATACCACAGCCGACGAGATCTTGAGAAGATGAAGCAATGAGATATTGAAACCAATGTTAGCAATAATGAACAGCAAGGGAAGCAATGGGGCACCATCACATCCTGAAACCAGATAATGTTAGTGCAGCATGAAAAACTAATAAATTTGCATCTTTTCCATTATAAGAATCGCATAAATGATAAAAGAAAAACTTAATTCCAAAGCATCTGATCCAGGAGATAATTTTAAATTTATTTCTAGAAGTTCTACAACTGAAGCTGGAATTTCATAAGCTATTACTAACAATAAACACCCAAGTTTTAAGACCATGAAACTAGAAATGCCATCCTGACTATCCTATAACCTGTTTAAATAAACTCACATGTTCAACAATGCTAGAAATATTAACTAGACTAACAATATTTTCCATCAGTAAATTTCTAACTCTCTCCCTGGTTCGGTTATGGTTATGGTTATGGTTATGAAACTATACGGTATTGGTTCTCACACTTTGATTTTCTGCATAGCTTCACATGTAAAGAAATCTTGCCCCTTCCACTGGAGGGCATATAATGCCAAAAACAAAGGATTGTAAATTATATGCTTTTGATACCAAGCGAGACAACCAACATTTCCCTAGTGCAAAGACAATTCTGATGAGCGCCATCAAAGAGAAATGACAATATAAAAAGTTACAAATAGCTTACCTTCCGTTAATGTACCAACATTCAGAAAGCAGGCTGCCCCATCTCTAAGGTAGTTTGGTAGTTGATTGAAGGGAACACCCCATAATTTTGACAAGAAGGGCAGGAGAAGGCATAAAAACAGTGTCTGCATTAATTATACGCTTATGCAGTTAGGGGTCCTATAACGTAAATGAGGGGAATTTAAAAGATGCACACCGAATTAATTTACAACATATTGTAGGATACTCACTTGGAACACTGATCCAAAAGAACTGACAACAAACAGATCCAAGGAACGTCCCTGTTAGATAACATTAAATATTATTTAGTATATGACTGCCTTCTAAACGAAAAAAGTAAATTACAATCTCTTTATAAAATAGAAAAATATGAAATAGTTAGCAAGGTTACATAATTTGCATCAGTATGAGGGAGACCATGTTTCTTAGTGCACCAGAATTGATATTGATTAATTTAAGCAGTCAAATGCCACACGTCATAGCATTTGAAAATCGTAATTTGCAAAAATATGAGGATTAAAATACTTATCTACTGCACACACCTTCAGTTTCTGGGCCGCATCCCGAAAGATAACTTCCTAGAAATAATGAAGATGCCCCTTGTTACCATAGAGAAACAAAGTTTGAAATTAAATGCTAAAACCAACGGCTATCAAGGAAGACATCAACCTTCAGGACAGTATCTGCCGCTTGGAATAGAAATGAAAGTATCATCAAAGCACTCCAGAATATACCACCTTCCTTCAATGAATTTCCGGCACCCGAGCCACTAAAATAAGTAAAACAAAGGCAAAAGATCAGCTCGTAGAAAGAATAAACATGAAAGTCACATCGTTCATGCCAGCAACCACTGGTCTATAGTTCAGATTTAACAGTCGACAAAACAGCAACATATTAGCTGTTGCCGCATCATTGATGAAATCTAAAATGACAATTTCGTAAGTCTTTCGCTACACCTTACAATGAAATTATACCAGTCTAAGACCCTGCCTTTTCAGGCTTCATTTTGACAATGATCAAGGAATAATGTAAATTACTAGTTGAAGTCACTAAGAGGGTTTAGGAGTATAACATGCCACCAAAAAAAGAAAATTTGCTTTGTTGTTCAGCGTGAAATTCAACAGTAAAATTTTAGAGCTATCAGGAGTTTCAGAATAAAGTTTCTTCAAACTCGCATATAGAAGAAAGCAACTTTATACCTTCAAAGCAATCTGACCAAAAAATCTCTAAAATATTAAAACCATCAATAAAAATGTTCAAGAAAGTCATTCAGAATTAGTTTGCTGACATGATTGTACATATTATTCTTATCCTTTGCAAATACAAAATTCAACAGTGCCTTATCCTTCTTTATGCAGAAAAACTGAGCCAACACAATCTGACACATTTACATTCCCTGACCTTGCCACAGAAATGATTACACCAACAGCTACAAGAAAGCATCCAAGTAGTTGGTTGACTCTATATCTTCTTCCGAGAAAAATTTTAGACAGAAGAATTTGCCATACAAGAAAGCTCTGCAAGGGAAGTTGATTAAATTAATTATACACACTTTAACTTCTACATTAAATTTAAGCATGTCATGTAAAGATGAGATACTAGATGCAAAGACCCAGACTTTGGTCAAAATGAAAGTGTAAACTTTTTTCTTTGTATGAAAACAATAAATTTTATGCGTCAAAGTTTCAACTTTCGGCCAACTGAGACAGATCCTGGATTAGATCATTATGCATCCTTTCTAGTTTCTACCACAATTTTTTCAGGTCCTTTAAAACATGGAACAACCAGATCAGTCATCAAGTAGATTACATGTCCCTGTGCATGCTTTAATTATTAGGTACCTCCCTTAGAATGAGCAATCCCTTTAATTCTTAATTCAAAAAAAAAAATTCTTAATTGAATTAAAAAAAGGGAGTAGTTACATCTACTTTTCCATTTCAATTAGCTGGAGAATCGGCCGTTTCAGCTACCTATACAGCTGATCCTTCCTCTGTAAAGACAAATAATATCTTGAGCAGCTGATTCTGATTTTTCCCCTTTTCAAATAGTTATATCTTGCAAGATATCTAGTTTTTTATTTAGATGATTATCTCATAATTTTATGTAGTTTTAATTCATATGCAATATCTAGAAAATAAATAATGAGTGTCGATACAGAAACCACCTAGTTCAATCAGTTGTCAAAAACAAAGTTTCCTTCTTCTACCACAATGATTCTATTGCAGTAATAATTGGGATTAATAGTAAACCCCATAGAGGTAATAGACTACCAATGCTTCTTACCTGAGATAAAATTGGAATTGAAGCTCCAGAGAGAATTGCTGACACAACAGAGAGAAGAACACATAATTAGATGAAATTCAGACATCCTATTTTTCTTTTCCCCCTAAGGAAAAGCGAAGAACTGTACAGCTCAATGATATTAGTATCTAAATATCTATCAAAAAAGAAAGGCATGACTATCAATGATATATACCAATTGTTTATTCCCGCCAACAAATGCATCTTAAATTAGAGTTACAGGAAAATGCAGAAGTAATAAAGCAGATCATTGAATGAACTACAGCTTGCTACACTCAGAATTAAGTCAAGCTTAATTGATTCAGGACAGTTGAAATCAGCTCAATCAAAGCCCATAAAAACATTCAAAAAAAGAGAGTGAAAGTTGTATTTTACTTTTGAAGTTTTATGATGTGCAGTATCTGCTATTGCAATTCTTAAGCTGTCAGAAGATCATTATATTAACTAACTAGTCATGTTCTGACATGGGGGTTACTGTCTGAGTTTATTAACTCAAAATATAAGAATGTGCTGTAAATAGTTCTAACTTCTAAGTTGACCAACCAAGTATGATCAACCTGCGCAGACAAGATCAACTAATCAGACCCAGAAAACAAAACCTATAAGGAAAAATATCTGCATGCGGAGATGATGACAGAAGCTAGCATTACACGCAAGATAGCCCAAAATCAAAGCAGACTTCTAAAAAGATACATAATTAAAGCAAGGGTAAATGTGCATCCAGCACTCTAATCTTATTTCTCAAGTGCATCCAATATTCCAATCTTATAGTGCATCCAATACCCTAATATTATTTTCCCATTGCATCCATCACCCCAATGTTTTCCTCAGTTACATCTACCGCCCTAATCTTCGGGGTGCTGGATACACTATCAATAAAAATTGGATATTGGATGCACCATATATATTATATAAGATCAGGGTGTCCCTTTACCCTTAAAATAAAATAAACTTCCTAAAATTTGGGGTTGGGATAAGAATATTACTTCCTGCTGCCATTCCTGCGGCAGCACCTAGAGCCTCCAAGAGACCAACAGCAATAAATGGTGCTTTTGGCGTAGATAACATTTCATCAGTAACAATGCCCGCACGGTACCGAAAATACAAAATAGAGAAGTACACAACTAGGTATCTGAAACAAAGAATATCTGATTAGATTTGGTTACATTAACTCCTGTAGACGTCTACATTTTGTCATTCTCGCCGTTCCAAAAAAAAAAAAAAAAATGCAACAGCTTATTCCCCGAAGTAAAAGGATAGCATTAAAGAAATAGAAGGCATAGCAGAAAATGCAACATAATGTGGTGGAATGATCATGGAGTATATTTTCTGAATTCATAGGCGCCCCATTACAATGACATTATTGTTTCCCATCGCGGTAAATGTTTAGTTGCTGTTTAATTTAGTGGACTAAAAGGTGAACCAAGGAAGACAAAGTAGATAGCATTGCTGGGATTAGATGAACCATAGAATGCAGATACTGCAGTAGGGCCCGGCAACAAACCGTCGCTTGAACCCAGAGTCCTAGAAAATATCAATATAAAAACCGACGGTTCTAAATTGTTATCCCACAACCACGATTCAATGAATAGTGGAGAGTAAATAAATAAATAATTACGCTTTAATCCTTATTTAAATATTTTACTTACTTTTGTTATTCAAAAGTTATAACTCAATTCTAAGTGTTAGCTTCGGCTAAAAAACTATGTTTGTTAATTTAATTTATAGTTAAAATATACTTTTAGTTCTTTAACTTTACATCAGGTTTTATTTTAGTCTCTTAACTTTAAAAAGTAAATTTTTAATCCTCTAACCGATGATATTGAACTCTTAAATACTGATAAAACATTACCAAATACTATAATATTAAGTTTAATTTTTAAAACAATTATGATTGTTATAAAAAATCATCATTTAAGACTAATAACGTTAGAGTTAAAAGACTAAAAATATTTTTTAAAGTTGAAAGACTAAACTGAAACTTTGAATTAAAAGATAAAAAATATACTTTAGCCTTAATTTAATCTCTTAGAATAAAATAAACACACATAATTCGCCGCAAATGGTTAATGCGTATGGAATTACAAAATTTAAACAGTAATTATTGTTCATAATCAAAGAATGGTGGAGGGCTGCGGCAAGTACCCGACCGTGGCAAGCTGAGCAAGGAAGAAAGGATAGTGTTTGAGGGGTACCAAAGCGAGCTTATACAGCACCCTGTTTCCGACTCCCATCACCACCGTCATCACGGCGGCGAACACCACCTGAGCAGTTCGATTCACCCTTCTCCGGTCGTTTACCACCGCTACAATCCCATCACCGTCACCCCCGCCGTCCGCCGCAACATCTCCAATCGCGTACCCGCAGGGTCTCGCCTTTTCACGCTCCCTGAAGTCATCAGATCTCTCCCACCCGCCAGCTGGCCCCGACGCCTCCACCATCCAAATTCTCGAACGCCTCCGCGAAGATCGCAACACGATTCCAGAACGCTGAACTGCATAACTAAACTGAACGTCACAACCACCAGCAAGCCTCATCGACTGCAGGAGCCGGACATGACCGCTTGACGAGGCAGCACCGCCGGCAACAGCAGCCATCCTCCCGGGAAATGACGTCATAACTCCAATTTCACCGGCTACGGTGCGCAGAGAAATGGCGGCATACACGATAGCAATTAGGGACGAGCAGCGCAAGAGATTAAGGCTCACATGGAGGAATTAACCATCAGACCACTGAGAGCTTCTGATGAAGAAGTTATGGAACACAACTGGGTGCGCCAAGGCGACTCTGACAAAGCCACTTTGTAGTTTATGCTTCCGTTCGGATGGATCTGTCACGTTATAATATTATTATAATTAAAGCATATGAACGAACATGAAGAACAACAACGCAAATTGGGACTTCGCATCTGGATTTTTGATCGCCATTTTGAGTGGAGTTATTATTATTTAATAATGGTACTTGTAATAAGAGTTAATTTAACTTTCAACTTATTTTTAAATATAAAATTTTAATTCATTTTGTTTTTAATATTTTTTTAGTGTAAAGTAGTCTTTATACTAATTACACATATTAATAGTTCAATTAAATGGAAGTTTTAGCTAATAGTACCTCCGGTTCTTTATATAATACCACGTTTAACTTTTATTTTGGTTCTAAATATAATACCTTAATCTATTTTTTCTCTCATATTTATCGATTTTTTTCTAATATAGTCATTCTAATAATAGTAGTTCGAGCCAACAAATTTGATTAGCAGGAATATTCTAGGAAAAATAACTCTTATTTATTGCAAATAACTAGCTTAGCTTATTTCCTTAATCTACTCAAATTAGTTAATTAACTATTATATTTAGGACCAGAGCCCGGAGGTAATACATATTTATAAAAGTATTTTAGGAAAGACAACACCTAATTATTACAAATAACTAACTCAATAACTTTTCTTAATCTACTTAAATTAGTCAATTAGTTTTAATATTAAGGATTAATAGTTGTAATTATTGCAATATCAGCTACTTTCCCAAATATGTAGCATCTCAACTCTTTTATCTATTTTTTTGCCAAAGTAATCCTAATAATAGTTATACACGTTAAAAATTTTATCAAATTATAATTCTACTTAATGCATATGATTAACAAGAATATTTTAAAAAAGACAACACATATTTATTACAAATAAATAATTTAACTAATTTTTTTAATCTAATTAAATTATCAAACTAGCTCTTGTATTAAAAATTAATATTGTACTATATTTGTTGTTTTCTGGTTATTAAATATTACTACCTTTTATATTTAATATACGAACTAATTAATTAATTTAGATAGAGTAAAAAAATTAATTTAGTTAGTTATTTATAATAAATAGGTGTTGTCTTTTCTAAAATACTTTTGATAATAATGTGTATTGGATAGAATTATTATTTGATGAAAAATTTAATATGTGAAACTACTATAAAGACTATTTTAAAAAAATAAATAACTATAAAAATTAAATAAATCAAAATTTTATATTTAAAATCAAATTAGTTTTTATACGAAGTAACCTGCTAAGATATAAAGCCGCCTCCCACGTTACATTTATATATTGTGTTTTTGCACGGATAATAATTTTTTATATTTTAAATGTTTTTGAAAGTTTTCATAAAAACTATCATGGTCAGACCTGACTGAGCCAACAATAATTGAATTGAATCCGACTCAATGATGAAAAGATATACCTCATCATACATTTTATAATTTATAATATGGGTCGTACCCCTTTTTTTGGGTCAATAGGCCGTGCCCCTTTAGACTATAAATATTGCATAAAGTTTAAGAAAGCAATTATACATTTTATGGAGGATAATAAATTTGGCAACAACAAAAAAATAAATGTTGTAATTCAGCGTGAATTTTATATTTTATTTTCTTCTTATTTATTTCTCAAAAAAATTACTTTTCTTTTTTTTTATAAAATTATTTGCATATATATTTGTATAGGTTAAAGTATATTTTTAGTCATTTAACTTTACACAAATTTTATTTTAGTCCATTAACTTTAAAAAGTATATTTTTAATCTTTTAATCCCAAAATTATTAGTCTTAAATAATATTTTTTGTAACAATCATGGTTGTTTTGAATGTTAAACTTAATATATTAGTATTTAGTAGTATTTTATCAGTATTCAATAACTTAATATCATTATTTTTTATTCACAATTTTAGGATTAGAGGACTAAAAGTTTACTTTGTAAAGTTAAGTAACCAAAATAAAATATTATATAAAGTTAAAGGATTAAAAGTATAATTTAGCCTATTGTTATCTATAAATTCAAACACTCAACTTTATTTGAAGAAAAAAATTAGGTATCTTATACCCAACGTCTCAACCCACATAAAAACTTTTTTTTTTTGACCGGACACATAAATTTTTTAAATTTTTGTTTTTTTTGTTGTTATAACTCAAATACCCATCTTATAAAGATTCAAACTTGTAATCTCTTAAAGAAAGTCTTAGGAGGTGTTTGGTATAATATAAAAATACTTCTAAAAAGCACTTTTTCGTAAATTGAGATAAATTCCTTTACATATCTACTTCACATACCGTAAAATTACTTTTAAAATTATGGTTTAATTTTTATCCAAATATATTTTTTTAAAAAGAACTTTAGCACCAACTGGGCTATAAGGCCCCGACATTAGGATATTAATCTTGTACCTCTATTTACATTTTAATATCCACTTGTCAACTAACTAAACTAGACTCATTTTAAATTTTCAAAAAGTTGGAATTATAATTTTTTTTATGATGTAAATAGTAGGCAAATTTTCATATAAAACCATCTAAAATAGGAAAAATCCTAAATTACATTGACAAATTCAACAAATCTGTAATTTGTCCATAAATCCAATTTGGGATTTATAAAAGTGTATTATTATCATTGTCTTTATCCTCATCCTCCAGTTCATTATCATTTGGGGCCACTGGTTAAAAAACTTGCCACGTCAGCCAAACAGCAAAGTTTTGGCATTCGTTGGAACTTGTTTGATAATTTTATCTCTGTAATATGGTTATTTGCCATCCTTAATTTGATTGTTTAATTAATCCTATGTTTAAAGTTACTTTAAAATATTTATTCGAATAATAAATTTATGTATCGGCAAAAAAAAAACTCTACATTGGTTGAATGGCTCAAATTAATTCAAAATAAATCATTTTAGTCAAGAGAGATTTATAATTAAGTTCTAAAAGGAGAAGATGATTCCAAGTTGAAGTTGTCCTCTCTTAATTAGCACAATTATTCATTGAATAGAGGCAAAACTACACAGCCATCATTCAACTTGAAATCAAATTCAATTTTCGTCTTCTTTTTTATATGTACAACTATGTTCCTATTAGAAGCTATTCTGTTCAAGTTATTATTGAACACTAAATATAAACACATTTTTCAACAAGAATTTAAATCTTGATATGTTACGTTGTGAGAAATTAGCTCCTTCTAATTTGTATTTCCACAAAGAAATAAATAAGAGTTAATATAATTTTGGATTCCTCAAATTTACCTTAATTTTAATTTTGATCTGTTATAGGTCTTGGTCTTTCAAGTTTTTTTCTTTTAGAATATTAATTTCTATAATTTAATAAAAATTTGGATCATTTTGTTTATTAAGAAACCAAAATCAAAATAAAAAATTTTAAATGACAAAAAATTATATTAATTTAATAAACGACAAGCTTGTGGCCATGTTTTATGTTTGCTAATCAGCCCATGATACTTGCTTCCCCAACACCAACAACACCCCCCCCCCCAAGAAAAAAAAAAAAAAAGCAAAACAAACAAAAAGTTAAAAAAGGGGGATTTGCATGGGAGATGCAGCGATCTGTGGCGTCTCATATTGGAAGCTGGAATGGCATATGATTCAGGGAATCTAATCTTAGATAACCACCAGCATTATTCATTTTGTTATTTTTTAAATTTCTTTTTCTTTTCGGGAAATCACAATGAGAGATTCTGAGAAGAAAGTATAGTTTAAAAATATTATAATTACAAGTGCGCATCATAAATTGTTGTCATTTTTCACGCTGAAATTTGTCATTTACTTATGATGAGATTTTTTTTAGCAGTTATATTCCTTCCCTAAAATTATATAATAAATTTTCTTTTATTTTTTGCTATTAGAAGTTAATCCTATTTATTTCATAATATGTTTTGTCTATAATTTATATAGAGTTGTTATAGGTGCCCATAATGAAAATGGAAGGAAGTATTAAATTAATATTAAATAAATTAAATCCACAAAGCAGATCATTTTGCAAATGAATTGCAATACTACTCCTTCGATCCTTAATATAGAATCTAATTATTGACTTAACGTTGGTTCTAAATATAAGATCTATTTATCACATTTATCAGTTTTTTTCAAATTACCTCTATTGGTACTTTCTTAATCATAATCAAGTAGGAAGAAAGGGGAAGATATTAAAAAAGATAATTATGGTATTATATCACATTTTTTATAATTAATTAACTTACCTAACTTTTTTAATCTAATCAAATTAATTAAATAGGCCTTATATTAAGAATAGAAGGAGTTTAATCTAACAACTAACCTTTAACTAACAATAACGATAGAAAACATTGACGAGACGATAGCCAAGACAAGTAACCCACCCTGCAAGGCCATTTTCAGTGAAGTCATTGTTAAATAATAGAATATTCTTATGTAATTAAATATCATTGTCCAAAACTTTATAAAAAAATGACATAAAAAGAAGTTAAAAATTATAATATTTTAATTTAGGTATCTAAAGGGTTAAAATTTTATGTGAGAAAGTAGTTTCTGATCTACTATTTTGTAAATATAGTCAAATGACTAAAATATCTTTGTATCAGATTTTTTTTCAAAAAAAAAAATCAAACATGTTATCTCTAGTACATTTTTTGTTATTCATTGTTCAATTCTTGTGTTACCAATTCACAACTTATTAATAAATAACTTCATTATCATTTACTGTTTAACACCTATCATTATCAGTTCATAACTTTCTAGTAAATTTTTTATACAAGGATATTTTTTTCATTTAATTACATTTACAAAATACTAGATCAAATATTACTTTCTTCTTTGTAATTAGTGCTTAAATTGAAATATCGTAATTTTTAACTTTTTTTGGTGTCGTTTTCTCAACTTTATATGAAATAATAACAGGAAAAATAATAATAATGAATTGGCGGGTGGCTTGTTGTTGAAGGAACCTTTTTCGCCACTGTGCTTTTGTATATTTTCATTTTTTCCAGGAAAATTTATCATAGGGATTCTAAATTAAAGAAAAATAATTGCAAAATATTTTAATTGTTAAAATTATTTTAAAACACGA